AATATTTCAGCAACATCAACAGAAATGGGCTTCACACATTGTACCCATGTCGGGAATCGAACCTGGGTCTTCAGCGTGACGAGCGATAATGCGTTGTAATCATAGAACAATTGTATTAAACAATTGCCAAAGCATATAGCACATCAATGTATCCGCTCCCAGTAAACATGCTGAAATGGCATAATCTTTCTTGTATTATTTCACACCGTTTTACCTACGACAATGACGTATATTTCTTGTGTAACAATGTCCCCGACATAAAAGGCTCAAGTTGTCGGATAGAAAACTCGCAGACCTGTTTAACCCCCAGATTCCGGGAATTAATATTTTTATCCGACATGTAACTTTTGAACTGATCCCTAGTATAGCGGAAGACCGCACATCGGGCCATCCGTCAACTTCAGATGAAAGAGGAACACTGTCAACAATATCAGAGCACTACGACCTAGTGGATCAATGGAGAACTGGTCTTCCAGACTCCCTCACTCGTATCTTCTTCACCTTATCAAGAAATAGGGCTGCATATATCATATTTGTATATATTACATTACGAATTTGTAAAGCCCACACCACGATAGATAGTATTATTATCCACCACTGGATCAGTGTGCACTCGAATTCCATTCTCAGCTCCCTGGGGAGTATACAACCCAAGGCGCCTCTGAGGCGCTAGTAGGTTGCCACACTACCATCTCATCTTACCGGGTACCCATTCATTGCCGGGTGTACAGAGGTATATGCCTAGCAAAGTCACTTGTCTAAGGGGACACAACATTAATTGTGCTTCCGTGTGGGGTCGGACCGGCAACCAAGAAACTCAGGAGTGGATGTGCGACAGTCGGTCGTGTACTAACTAGTGTTGCTGTTGGTACATCTTCCCGAGGCAAGTGAGTTAACTGACTATAAAAGTCCAGTTTCCACCCTTCTCGAACTAGGCTGGTATTATAGAGCTACATTTTGGCTGGACTAACGAGTCTATGCATAGTCCAACGACAATCACGCAACAAAATTGAAATCCGGTTCGTAAACGTCGTGCAGATTTCGGTCGATTGCAGTATTTACAAAGCATTTGCACCGCCAACTCGTTGTCAACATACATTTTCTAAATCTTTCCATGTTTTTAATCAAGGTGCTCACGTGATTTGATGCACTTCGCGATGTAAGACCCGTTTTATCACAATAATGATCTTGATTATCGATCATATCGTCTTGACTGGGCGCCGGCATTTTGTTTGAAGCAAATGCAAGTGATACGAGAGGTGGACTCTGATTGGTCCATAGGAAAGGCATAGAAGGGACATAACTCGTAATAGCCACTGGTGGCGCTACGGTCGAGCCCAGGAATTCCAGCCTAGTTCGGCAAGGGTGGAAACTGGACTTTTAAAGTCAGTTAACTCTCTTGCCTTGGGTAGATGCTGTTGGTATTACTGGTTCAAAAACACGAGCGCTCTGCGAACTGGAGAATAATAACTACCTGTCTTGAGAGACGTGCGGGTATTAGAGCGTGTTTGAAAAGAGGTGAGGTGAGGTGAAATTGGGTTTAACGTCGCGTCCAAGATTATTGCACTTATATAGCGACGTGCATGCACGTGTATGTGTGTGTGTGGCTGCTTGTACTAGTCCGGACTGATGCCGATTTATAGTGCTAGCTCACTGAGATACCATGCCGCAGTTTAACATGAATACCCCACTCAGACACAGTATACTGACTCCGAGCCGACCAGTCCTTGTTTTAGCCCCTTAATGCCGAGCGCCAGACAGGGTAACAACAAGTACAATCTTTTAACGTCTTTTTGTATGACGCGGCCCGGGATCGAACCCTGGACCTTCCGCTCTCCGGGCGGACGCTCTACCACAAGACCACGGAGGCGGTCTGTGTTTGAAAAGAACATGTCGTACCAGGATAATTATAGTTTGAAACGTTCTACCAACTGGGGCATATACAATCTGAAATATTATGTCCAACTATCTGTAAAGCCTTTATTCCCCAAAATATACTTCAATATTCATGTATCTAAATCTAATAGTCGCTGAAAGCCTTTAGATGTCCCGGCATATATGGCCTCGTAAAAGCTGCGAGGATTTATTCGTCAGTGTCGATCTTCACATATGCTGCAAAATTCATACGTCAAGGTGTTTCTTCACAGGTGAGACAAGTACTCATACGTCAAGGTTTTTCTTCACAGGTGATGCAAGTATTCATACGTAAAGGTGTTTCTCCACATGTTAGACAAGTATTCATATGTCAAGGTCTTTCTTCACAGGTGAGACAAGTATTCATACGGCAAGGTGTTTCTTCACAGATTAGACAAGTATTCATACGTCAAGGTCTTTCTTCACAGGTGAGACAAATATTCATACGTCAAGGTGTTTCTCCACAGGTGATGCAAGTATTCATACGTCAAGGTGTTTCTTCACAGGTGAGACAAGTATTAATACGTCAAGGTGTTTCTTCACAGATGAGACAAGTATTCATACGTCAATGTGTTTCTTCACAGTTGAGACAAGTATTCATACGTCAAGGTGTTTCTTCACAGGTGATGCAAGTATTCATACGTCAAGGTCTTTCTTCACAGGTGAGACAAGTATTCATACGTCAAGGTGTTTCTTCACAGGTGAGACAAGTACTCATACGTCAAGGTTTCTCTTCACAGGTGATGCAAGTATTCATACGTCAAGTTATTTTTTTAATAAATCATCCCATGCCCTGTCACCGCGCATGCTTTCCTCAAGTATTAGCGGATGACCTTGTTTGGCCAAAATGTAAATCATTAAATTCTATAATTTCCCGTGAATGCGGACTAACTATAAACCATTTAATTCAAGTAAACGTGACGACGCTGTTGGTGGGATAGCTTCGGGAGGTAGTATGTATAAAACACGAGTGGAGATAGCTTCCGTTCTCGACACGGAAACCAGTCAAGAGGAAGCCTTATATGAGGAAATATCAGTACGTGGTTGGCGTTTTAAACTGAGTAATATAACAACCTTATCACAAGAAATTACAATAATCGGGCTTCGACTATACATAAACAGGCGCGGTTGGGTATCCTAGTTTTTTTGGGTTTTTTTTGTTGTTTAACGACGCACTCTGCAATATTTCCAGCTATATGAAGGCGGTCTGTAAATAATCGAGTCTGGACCAAACAATCCAGTGATCAACATCATGAGCATCGATCTTCGTAATTGGGATACGACTACATGCATGAACCAAGTCAGCGAGCCTCACCACCCGATCCCGTTAGTCGCCTCTTACGACAAGCATAGTCGCCTCTTACGACAAGCATAGTCGCCTCTTATTTTACCCCAGAGGGTATCCTAGTGGTTCTTACTGGTTAACTTAATACCCGGTTTCGAATCTCCAGACGGGCACAGTTTGTGATGCCTGTACGTCCCCTGTTGTGATTAAGATAGACTGTCTTCAAGATCCTAGAGAATACATTAAAAAGGATTTGGCAAGTCTAGACTGCCTCCGCTCCTGAAATAGGCATTGTTCTGGACTCCATTTGGATTTTATTTTCCTATTTTGTAAATATATTTCTTTAAATAATATTTCTGGGACTAAATATTAGTCTATGATTTTGCTTTAATATTTCTTTAGAAAGTGACGTTAATTTACGAGGTACAGTCGCAATCACCTACGGCCGTCTACTACATTGAAGATTACACAGTTGTATATATCAACGAATTGTTTGAGGGGTATTACTTTGAAGTTGGCGGATGACAAAGTAGACAATTTATTGATAACAAGCAAATCTTGACAACGGCATAAAGATCTATACCGAAACGTCGCCTTTACAATAATTGAAAAATTTGATATCCATAAATTGTGTCTACTTTAGCATATATCACCATCTCAGTAAATTCCGTTCAACCGTGCAGAGGGATTCTGGGTTAAAAGAAGTCCCCAGTAAATTGTCGCTTGTCGTGAGGCAAGTTGCTGCACCGGACGTCAGACTCGGTGACCTGCTTGATTGATTGACGTCTTAACTCGATGTCACTGGATTGTCTGGTCTAGACCCAATCTTATTTACATGTTGCCGTCACATAGCTGAACTATTGCTGAGTTTAACAACTAACAAACAGTCCGTTGTTTCTCGTGACAAGCATGTTGAACGTGGAAATCCTTCTGACAAAGAGACGACCCACAGACGCGTGCAGATGGGTGATATTTCAAAGATATAAAACTGGCAACGAGTCTTTTACGAACTGGGCACATCGAGCTTGTTAATAGCAGTAATAACGCCAATAATAGTAATATATTTATGACAATGATGGTTATTAAAAATCAAAAATTGGTGACATTATCAATTGAAGCTTTCAACTGCGTTTGTTAATGATAGCGTTTATGAACGATCACAGGATAATGACACACACAACCCCTCCTTGAGATAGACGATAAGGAATTGACAGTAGATGAAATTGCAGTTTGTCGGCCTTGTCATGTAAGAAACACAATGTTATCTTTGAGCACACAAAAAATATACATATATATAATAGCTCCCGGTGTAGCTGAGGAAAAGAGACACGCGTCTCCCGTTAGCGTTGATAGCGTCGCGCTATAACGGGGTGCATCTGGCCATAACAGGTTTGGGAGCAGACGAAACTATGCGGTTCAGTCTGTCACGTCGGTGAGAATGTCGGAGACAATACCCCTCCCCGCCCAGCATGTTCCCATGGATAATAATACCACAAGCGTTCACCCTCGGGTCACCAACAGTTAGCACTGACCCCGTTTCTGTCAAACGCCGTCTGTCGATTTAAATTCTATTTCATCGGCGGTGGCACACGTGTGAGTCATTGTTCAACTATTACGATTCGGAAATTAGAATTATGATATAAATTATTAATATAATATGTTGGTGACAAAGAGGAAAAACTCGGGAGGAAACTGCTCCGAATTCACATCCTTGTATATATGGGTGTCGTCCTGTGGCTTGAAACAGAATGGATTTTTACATGTTCAGTTTAGGCTAATTATGATAAACGGATGTACTCACATTCGCATTCGGCGACATGGAACTCACATAAACCTTTATCTGTGCGTCTCCGTTCGACATTTTCAATTTGAGATGGTACAGTTTTATCCACAACGTCCGTCGACAATATTCGCCGTCTATCGATGTCAACAAAGGCCTAGTGTCCCCTCACGCCTGACAGACGACCTAGATAACACCCGCCGTTATAACGTTATCGATCGTAGTGATATCTATTATTAAAAGGGAGACAACTGGTTTGGTGATTTGGGGAAATCTCATTCTATTACCACTGGAAAGGATAAACGGGCCGGTTTATTCTGTTTAGGGGGATGCAGGTTGTGTTTTAATATTAATGCTTGAAGTTTTTACTTTACACTGAAATTGTACCAATTGTTTTCAAACTGGAGGTATTCAAAAGGTATGGCTCTAATTTAGCCATTTAATCAATGACCATTAAATAAGTATGATTAATTAAGATTGACTTACGACGAATACATTGCCCCTTACGTAATACACATGGACGAGCGAGTAAGTCGCGTGTTGCACGTTACTGACACAAAAAAAAGAAACAACTTGTTCGTTTTGATGTCGAAATAAATCACAGTGTATGCTAAGGTCTGGGTTGACATAAGCAAAATAGTCGACTTTCTGACTACAAAACGACATGCTACTGCGTTCAGTTCATGTAAAGAATCGCTGATTTTTAGCAGATTTGGTCAGATTTTCGAGGGTGCCAACCCTCCCTCTCCTGAATCCCGATTATCATCTTATTTTTCACTCTGAGTCTCATTGCTAACCCCCGAATCCCGAATATTACTTTACACAAATCTCAAAAGCATTGCGAAAAGGGTGTTATTTAAAGTTAAATTTAAACCACCTCGGATCAGAAAGTCAGTGATTCGAATCCCATCACGGGACTCGGACATTTTATAGCCGCTATACATCTAAGGTTTGTTTGTTGTTTAACGCCGCACTCAGCAATATTCCAGCTATATGTAGAGGTCTGGAAATAATCGAGTCTTGGCCAGACAATCCAGTGATTGACATCATGAGCACCGAACCTTGTAATTGGCTGCATCTACCAAGTCAGCGAGCCTGACCACCCGATCCCGTTAGTCGCCTCTTACGACAAGCATTGTCGCCTTTTTACGGCAAGCATGGGTTGCTGAAGGCCTATTCTACCCCGGATCTTTATTTCAGTCTCGACGTGACAACTTCATGTGGGAAGACAGCCCGAAATGATGCGGGTTTTAAACGTTTAGCACTTTGGTGGAACTAATAAACACGGTTATGGCCCCGAGAAAGCAAGAAACATAAACAGGTGGGGTCTGGATTCGAACCCAGTATCAAGGGACACCTAAAGCAGTCGCCTAAGAGAGCGCCTTAGACGACAGGGCCAACCGTGCCCCAGAAGAGGAACGTGACAAACAAACAGACAGACAGACAGACAGACAGGCAGACAGACAGACAGACAGACAGACAGTTTATTCAGTATGCAAGGCCATATGGCCCATAGTACAGTTCAGTTTGAACAGATACGGGGCGGTCGGGTAGCCTAGTGGTTAAAGCATTCGCTCGTCACGCCGAAGACCCGGGTTCGATTCCCGACATGGGTACAATGTGTGAAGCCCATTTCTGGTGTCTCCCGCCGTGATATTGCTGGAATATTGCTAAAAGCGGCGTAAAACCACACTCAGTCACTCACTTTAACAGATACATAAAAATCAACGTGATCTTGAACATAGCATAATATATTCACCTGAGTCTAAATACATGTTTCAAATACATTGCTAAAGATTTGATAACTTCTTCATTGGTTGAATTCAATAAATTGATAATTAATTGATTGTCTTTGTGTGTCATATCTAAATTAGGTAGAAACTTTAATCTCAACGTTTTATATTTTTCACACATAAAAAGAACATGAATCTCGCCTTCAATCTCCTGGTTGGTACAGTTAGAACATATATAATTTTCAAAATCACTATCCTTGGTTCTACGATATTTATTGACAAGGACGTTATGGAGAGACATTCTAAATTTTCAAAGAGCTCTCGATAGAGTTTATCTTGTGATATGCTTTAATATTTTTCTGGTTGTAACAATGATTTCATACAAGCATAATGCTTGACAAAGTGTGAAGAGTAAACTTGTTGGCGTCAGTTTTGCTGAAATATATCTAATAACCTTTGTTCAAATGTATGTAAAAATAGTTTTTCATTACCAATGTCTTGTGAGATCCATATAAAGGTAAAAATATTAAATATTAAATAATATACTTCTTACACCAGACACCCAATTCGTTTTCCCTTCACCATCTAATTGTTTTCGCATTTTCTAACATTGAAATGGGTACCTGTGAGCTTCCATTTTTAACAATTACAGTCAACTACGGTTATAACGAACACGCTTATAACGAACTGACGGATATAACGAACTTACCTTTTGGTCCCGACTATTTGCTGTCGTTATGCTGTATATATGCTTATAACGAACTACGGTTATAACGAACTAAAATTAGAAGTCCCTTTGAGTTCGTTATAACCGTAGTTTACTGTATATTTAATATTTAACACCGCGCAGCTGGCTCTGTACGTATATACTACAGCGACCAGTTTCACCAAGTACTGCCTATTTGAAGCATATTTACCCATGCATAAAAACTGCTTAAAATACAAAGTGTGAACTTTCTCAATGGATTCAAAATATTAAATGCCCCATACTGAATAAACTGTCTTTCTGAATATGGCATACCAACATACCTGAGATACCAGCATCTTAGGCTGACCTACATACGTGGTCAGTGATGCCTGGGTATGACTATGTAGATATACAACTAGAATGTATAAGCCGATGATTGATTCAGTCGGCCAGAAGGGAAGGGTGTGTGTGTGTGTGTGTGTCGTGTGTGTGTGTGTGTGTGTGTGTGTATGTGTTTCAATATATATGAAATATATATATACTTGCACGCAAAAGAAATGCAAGTGGTTTTAAGCAAATAGGTAACAAACACGAAGGGGGGGGGGGGGGGGGAGTTTTAGCATGTAGTGAAGCCTGATGGTGTTATCGATATTTATGGTTGCATTTTGGAAGCCCCGAGTAAAAACGCAACATAAAAAACGAATCGCCAAAACGCACCATTTCAATGAATATGTGGGTATCATGCACCCATTTCTCGCGAAATCGAAAATGCACGAACTGTCACGAACTGTAGTGGGTATAAAACTGTGGCCGATTCTTGGACCTACCAATCCTTGGTCAACAATGCCAAGCCTAACTCAAATTCAGAGAAACCAGGCTGTCGGACGTTTGGAAGCTGGAGAGTCTGTCCAAGATGTTGCCCGTCATTTCAACGTTAACATTAACACAATTTACCGTCTCCTGCATCGATACAATGCTACACAGACCACAGATGATCTTCCTCGGAGCGGTCGTCCTAGGGTCACCACACCTCGACAAGATCGGCAGATTACCTGTCAACACCAGCGACATCCGTTCCTAACTGCAAGTGTAAGTGCTCGACAGACCATAGGAACACATTATCGACACATTAGCCGGGACGCTGTGATCCAACGTCTCCGTTCCAACAACCTCAGATGTCGCCAACCAGCACGTCGTCCTGTTCTCCAACCACGGCATCGACAAGCACGACTTCAGTGGACACAGGGTCCACACAATTGGCGTCATCGTGAGTGGAGACGTGTCATCTTCTCTGATGAAAGTCGCTTTTGTGTCTCCCATGCAGACGGAAGAGTCAGAATTTGGCAGCGTCGAGGTGATCGTTTCGCTGACAGAAACGTTGTGGAAAGGGATCCATGGGGTGGACCTAGCGTCATGATATGGGCAGGGATTGGACTTCATGCGAGACTTGGACCCATGTGCCTTCTGAATGTTGGTCAAGGTCGGGGACACGGCGTCACTGCTCAACGGTATATCGACCAAGTGATCAGACCCCACGTTGTTCAATTTTTTGCACAACATCAACAACACATTTTCCAGCAGGACAACGCTCGTCCCCATGTTGCCAGAGCTACCATGGCCTTTCTGCAACAACACAACATCCGTGTTCTACCGTGGCCAGCCCTCAGCCCTGATCTGAACCCCATCGAACACTTATTGTGGGATGAGGTTCAAAGGCGTCTGCACAATGTGCGCCCAGTCCCTACAACTGCCGATGAACTACGCACAGCAGCTCTGGATGTGTGCAGGAGGATCCCTAGGGCCTTCACAAATCGTCTGATCTACTCCATGTACAGGAGATGTGTGGCACTGATCAATGCTAATGGTGGTCACACCAGGTATTGACTGACTTTTGGGTATTGCCCCGAAACTCTGTAAGCCCTTAACATTTGAAACATTTATGTCATCTGCCTTTTAATCCATTTAACTGTCTTCAGTCAATTTTTTGTCAATCTTGCCCTATTAGTATTTCTTGTCTTTACTGTTGAACATAAATAACATGTATACTGCATACTCGACTTGCGTTTCTTTTGCGTGTGAGTATATATAAATATATGTCAACGTGCGCATGTACGAAACAACACCATATATAGACATGAGGATAACAAGTGTCATTAAAGCTAAGTTTATATATCTTAGGGAAGAGTTCTCCTCGCATGTGAACATGAACTCGGGCAAGTTGTTGGCTCCAGCTGATTCTGCAATATTGTTCATACTTAAATATTCTGCAGGCGAACCACGTCATCGATATTTCTACATTTTCACTACTTTAGCAAAGCCCGTGTGCTTGACCACTGTATTTGTCCCCATGGTGGTCAGTCATGAAACACGTCCGATAACTTTCCTAAACATTGCTACCTGTCAAGTGTGATCCTTATCTCAACTTAACTCGTCCTACGTCATTGAATGTTCACTTATGCCACCGCCCCCCAACACACATACTAATTAAAAGAAATATTCCTATAGTTAAGTAATATTCAGATATATTATAAAAGAGAATTTGCGATGTTAAAGTGCAATGGTTTAAGTATACCATGCCCTGCTTTGTTTAAAATCAAATATTAGTCAATTTTTTCTGTAGATTATCATTAACATATAAGTAATGAAATCTCACGTATTACAGTTCATTCATCTCTTCTGTAGCTAGATTTGTTTTCTTTATAATATAGAAGCGCAGTAAAATCATTCTCCAAATCTTCGCAACAAAATGCGCTGTAATCTGGTCAGAGTTACTTCC